GTTGTGTTTGTGATTCACCATTAACTCAGAGTCGCTACCACTGCATGGTGGTGTGACTCTTTTCTGGGACAAGCCAGCCCTGGCCACAGCACAGTGAGAACTTCCCAGAAAAAATCACCGCAGGTCCCAACCACAGGGTCTCTTAAGTGAGGTTTTGAAATACAGCCACAGCTGAGATAAAAATTCTGGAGAAAGGCACTGCCAGGTAGACAGACAGCTTAGACATAGGGAAGGCAGGGAGCTGAAAGAATTGGGGAACATAGGAAATGTTACTAATCAATTATCTGGGAGGTTGCAAACTTTCTGCTTTGGAGACTAGAGAGTGAGATGAAGCCATTTATTTCACCATTAGCTCACCAACGCTGATGGACTTCAGTGAGCTAAGCAGCGCCACCAAGTGGAGGATGGAGCTGTTACACCAAGCCCTGCCCACCTGCACCCTCCAGGCACATCTCCACTATGGCAAATCAGCCTGAGAATCAGAACAGCAGGCCCCAGGGGCGCCTGGGTGGGTCAGTTGATTAAGCGTCCGACTTTGGCTCGGGTCATGATCTTGCAGTTCAGGGGTGCAATCCCCGTGTCGGGCTCTGTGCTGACAGCTAGCTCAGAGCCTGGAGCCTGTCTTCAGATTCTCTGTCTTCCTCTCTCTCTGACACTCCCCCGCTCATGCTGTCTCTGTCTCTCTCTCAAAAATAAAACATTTAAAAAATAATAATAATACAATAATAGTAGGGGACTTTAACACCCCACTTACAGCAGTGGACAGATCACGTAAGCAGAAAATCAATAAGAAAATAATGGCTTTGAGTGACACATTGGACTGGATAGATTAACAGATATATTCAGAACATTTCATCCTAAAGCAGAAGAATACACATTCATATCAAGTACACATGGAACATTCTCTACAATAGATCATATACTGGTTCACAAATAACCTCTCAGCAACTACAAAAACATCATGATCATACCATGCATATTTTTAGATCATACTGCTATGAAACTTGAAGTCAACCACAAGAAAAAAAAAATTGGAAATCCTTAAATACACAGAGGTTAAAGAACATCCTACTAAAGAATGAAAAGTTAGCCAGGAAATTAAAGAAGAAATTTAAAAAAATACATGGATGAAAATGAAAATGAAAACACAACAATCGAAAAATTTTGGGATACAGCAGAGGCAGTGTTAAGAGGGAAGTATATTGTAATTCGGGCCTATCTCAAGGAGCAAGAAAGGTCCTAACTAAACAGTCTAACCTTGCACCTAAAGGAACAAGAAAAGGAACAGCAGATACAGCCTAAAGCCAGGAGAAGAAGGGGTATAATAAAGAGTAGAGCAGAAATAAAGGATATAGAAACAAAAGAATAGTAGAACAAATCAATGAAACTAAAAGCCGGTTCTATGAAAGAATTACAAAATTGATAATCCCCTAGCCAGACTTATCAAAAAGAAAAGAGAAGGGTGCTTGAGTGGCTTAGTCAATTAAGCATCCAATGTTGTCCCAGGTCAAGATCTCACAGTTTGTGAGTTTGAGCCTGATTTGGATCCTTTGTCTTGCTCTCTCGTCCCCAGTCCCCCTCTCCCTCTCCCTCAAAAATAAATAAACATTTAAATAAATAAAAAAAACAAAGGAGAAAGGACACCAATAGAATTATGAATTAAAGAGGAGAGATCACAATCAACAGCACAGAAATTCAAACAATTATAAGAGAATACTATGAAAAATTATATGCCAAAAAATTAGGTCATCTGGAAGAATTGGACAAATTCCTAGAAACTCACCAACTACCAAAACTGAAACAGGAAGAAAAAGAAAATTTGAAAAACTCATAACCAGCAAAGAAACTGAATCAGTAATCAAAACTCTCCCAACGAACAAGGGTCTTGGGAGAGTTGGCTTCCCAGGGGAATTCTACCAGACATTTAAAGAAGAGTTAATACCCATTCTTCTCAAACTTCCAAAAAAATAGAAGGACAACTTCCAAACTCATTCTATGAAGCTAAAATTACCTTGACTCCAAGACCAGACAAAGACCCCACTAAAATGAGGAATTATAGGCCAATATCCCTGATGAACATGGATGTAAAAATTCACAACCAGATATTAGCAAATCAAATTCAAAAGTACATTAAAAGAATTATTCACCATGATCAAGTGGGATTTATTTCTGTGCTACAGGGCTGGTTCAATATTTGCAAATCAGCGTGATACACCATATTAATAAAAATAAGTATAAAAATCATATGATCCTTTCAATAGATGCAGAGAAAGCATTTGACAATATACAGCATCCATTCTTGATAAAAACCCTCAACAAAGTAGGTACAGATAGAACATACAACATACTTCAACATCATAAAGGACATACAGAAGATCCACACCTAATATCCTCAATGTGGAAAAACTGAGAACCTTACCTCTATGTCAGGAACAAAGCAAGAATGTACACTCTCAGCATTACTATTTAACATAGTACTGGAAATTTTAGCTTCAGCAATCAGACAATACAAAGAAATAAAAGGTATCCAAATTGGCAGGAAAGAAGTCAAGCTTTTACTATTTGCAGACAACATGACACTCTATGTAGAAAACCTGAAAGACTCCACCAAAAAAAAAAAAAAAAAAATGCTAGAACTAATACATAAATTGAGCAAAGTCAAAGTATGTAAAATCAATATGCAGGCATCTGTTGTGTTTCTATACACCAATAACAAAACAGCAGAAAGAGAAATCATGGGATCAATTTCATTTGCAATTGTGCTAAAAACAATAAGATTCCCGTAATATACATAACTAAAGAATAAAATATCTATACTCTAAAAACTATAGAAACTTATGGAAGAAATTGAAGATGATACAAAAAAGTGGAAAAGCATTCCATGGTCATGGATTGGAAGAACAAACATGGTTAGAATGTCTATACTACCCAAAGCAATCTACACATTTAATGCAACCTCTCTCAAAATACCATCAGCATCGTTTCACTCAGCTAGAAAAAAACAATCTTAAAATTTGTATGGAACCACAAAAGACCCGAAAGCAATTCTGAAAAAGAAAAACAAAATTGGAGGCATTACAATTTTGCATTTCAAGCTATATGGTGTTGGCACAAAAACCGACACATGGATCAGTGGAACAGAATAGAAAGCCCAGAAATGGATCCACATCTGTATGGTCAATTAATCTTCAACAAAGCAGGAAAGAATATCCAATGGGAAAAAGAGTCTCTTCAACAAATGGTGTTGGGAAAACTGGACAGTGATATGCAGAAGAATAAAACTGGATCACTTTCTTACAGCATACACAAAAGTAAGTTAAAAATGGATGAAAGAATTTAATGCGACTCAGGGAACCATGAGAATCCTAGAGGAGAAATGGGCAGCAACCTCTTTGACATCAGCTGGAGCAACTTCTTACTAGACTTTAGGGAAGGGAAACAAAAGCAAATGTGAACTATTGGGCCTTCCTCTAGATAAAAAAAACTTCTGTACAGCAAAGGAAACAATCAACAAAACTAAAAGGCAGCATACAGAATGGGAGATGATATTTGCAAATGACGTATCTGATAAAGGGTTAGTATCCAAAATCTATAAGAAACCTTCTCAAACTCAACACCCAAAACAAATAACCCAGTTAAGAAATGGGCAGAGACATGAATAGACACTTTTCCAAAGAAGACATCCAGGTGGCTAACAGACACATGAAGTGATATTCAACATCATTTAACATCAGGTAATTACAAATCAGAACTGCAATGAGATACCACCTCACATCTGCCAGAATGGCTAAAATGAACGAAACAAGAAACAACAGGTATTGGCAAGGATAAAGAGAAAGGGGAACCCTCTTGAACTGTTGGTGAGAATGCAAACTGATGCAGCCACTCTGGAGAACAGAATGGAGGTTCCTCAAGGAATTAAAAATAGAACTACCCTACCATCTAACAATTGCACTATTAGGTACTTATCCCAAGGATACAAAAATAAAGATTCAAAGGAACACATGTACCTCAGTGTTCATAGTGTTATCAACAAAAGCCAAAGTATGGAGAGAGCCAAACAATCATCAACTGATGAATGGATAAAGAACATGTGGTATACATATACAGTGGAATCAAAATAATAAAAATAATAAAGGCAAAATAAAAAATGAAAAATCATAAAATCTTGCCATTTGCAATGACATGGATGGAGGTAGAATGTATTTTGCTAAGCAAAATAAGTCAATTAGAGAAGGGGGCAGATACCATATGATTTCATTCATGTGTGAAATTTAAGAAACAAAAGAAATGAATATATGGGAAGGGGGGAGAGAAGAGAGGGAAACAAACCAGAAAAGGCATTTAATGATAGAAAACAAACAATGGGGTGTTGGAAACAGGTGGGTGGGAGATGGGCTAGTTGGATGATGGATGCTAAGGATGGCACTTGTTTTGATGAGCCTGGGTGTTGTATGTACGTGATAAGTTACTGAATTCTACTCCTGAAACCAATATTGCACTATATGTCAACTAATCATAATTTAAATTAAAAAAGGAAAAAAATTAAGAGCCCGCTCCACATACAGCAGACTAATGAAACACAACAACTACTTTTAATGCATAATCCTGGATGGGATTGAAGAAAATAGTTATAATACACATTTTTGCAACAGTGTGTGAAAATTTTATATGGAATATAGTTTAGATACTTTCATTGCAACAATATTAAGTTTTCTGATTTTAATAATTGTACTATGGTTATGTAAAAGAATACCATCATTCTTAAGACACACAATATTTAAGGTAAAGTGATGTAATATGTGCAATATGTTCTTAAATAGTTACAAAAGTATCTATATAGTTAATTTTCTATACATATGTACATACTTGGGTATATTCCCTGTGGCTAACCACCCACTTGATTACATGAGAAATATCTACATTTGTTTATTTAATAATATTATATTTACTGGTTAAAATATATTTACTATGATTATCTCCATAAATATTTTTCTGTTTTCAGTTTCACATAAATATGATAGCCTGCCACCCCCAGATTGGTAATCATCTTTCATGTTAGTATGTTTCTATCTATATTCACATAAAGAATATTTTTTTATATTACTGCATGCATTTTGCTTCAATAGCTTTCTAGAAGATGGGGCTCACTTCATATCTGTATATTTTTTGCCTGGACAATTAAGTGTTTACTATGCATTAGAATCATTTAGGAACTTGTTAAAGTGAAGATTTTGATTGAAAAGATCTGGGTTGGAGCCTAGTGTTTCTCATTTATTCAGAGTGTGCAGGTTATGCCCTTTGTAAAGACCACTCTCTTGAGACATTCATCCCCCTAACAATGAGTTTCATGAGGAAGTATGAGCATAACATAGGCACAACAAGATTTACTTCAGAAAAGATGAACTAGGGAGTAATTTCCATTTGAATATTTTTGATGAGGAAAAAGATTGGATTAGAATGGAAGAGTAAAGTGAAATTGCTGAATAGAATTGTAGCAAAGTTTGAAGAAGCAATTTGACTGCAAAATATAGCAACTGCAGTGATAAAATGTGTGCAGACATTTCTCAGGGAATTTGACCCAGATTGATGCACTCCGGCAGCCAGAATCTTAATTTCTTGCTTAGGAGAGGTTTTTGCAGGATTCCATACCATGAAGAAATGCACACAACGTCCAGCAATTCCTGAGGTTCACCTGCATAGAGCAAGTTCAGGAAGATCTTTTTGTATAAAAATTGCCCTGGTTTTATTTGGTTCTCCTGGTATTTATCAGCTGCACTTACAAGTCTATAGTTATTACTGTTTAAATGCATATGAAACTTTGGTTTGCTTACCTTTCTCTTTATCTCATATTTTTAAAAAGTGAACCCTGAGTTATCTGTGGTTTCTTAACTTGGAAATAACAATAGTGGAATCAGTGCTCTAGCATATAGTGTGAAGAAGATAAAAGGCTGAAGACACAAAAAAAAGACATTTGATCTACTTCATAAATCTGTCTAAAGAAGTTTGTTTTGCATTATGAATGTTTCTGTCAGTCACTTGTGTTAGTTCTATTGAGTTAGAATCTTGTCTCCTTTGTAATATGACTGATGACAGGCTACTCTTAAAACAGAAAAGAATTGAATTCTATTCTGCTTTTCAGGTTTTCTTTTCAAAAATCCTTTGGATATTTATAGGTATGTTATTTACAGCGTAAGTTCATATATTAGTTATTTATGTGCTTCAGATCTCTATCAGACACAAGCAGTATACCACAAAAGCATCTAGATTATATCATGATACATATCATTTGTTAGCTTAGAATGTTTCATCCTTTTTGTTTTGACAAGGTACAGATATTTTATCGTGAATTCTTTTTAATAGTGAAAAGACTTCTAACATGATTCTAGTGAAATTAGAGGTAAATATATGTCTCCCGATACATCTCATAAAATAATGAATAAAATTGCCACTAGGTTCTAAAAGCAGTGTACCGTAACATCCTTATTAAAATGAGGGATTTTTAAGTACTTTTGGGACTATCAAATTGATTGCTGATTTTAGGAGAGTATGTTTTTAAGTCACATAAAATTTAGAAATTAAAAATAGTATGTTTCATAGTATTAAATTTTACCTCACTGATTTATCCCAAAATGTGCAGTTTAATTAAATTAATAGGTGCATGATTACACTTCAGAGAATTTAAACTAATGTTCTACTTAATAAAAAACCTTAATATAATATCTTCTCATCTCAGCTTTTTGTGACATGTATATAATGAGAAGAATAGAAGTTGTTGGGTGTGCTGCTAAGGATATCAAAATGAACCAGAACATAATAATTATAAATTAATGTTAAAGTTAAGAGAGAAAAACAGGCATATTTGACTGTACATTAGGCAAGAAAAGTAAAATAACTTTTTTCTTGACTACCAGTCTATAGGGTTCTTCATACTGCAGTGAGCTTTCTAGAACTCTGGGGAAGTCCCAATTCTGACCCCATCCTGTGCTTTCCCATGCATCCTGTGGTGTGACCTAGGAAAAACAAACATTCATTCATCTTCTCAGAGATTTTTTTCTGATTCATGATAACCCATAAATCAGTTTTTTGTCAGAATATCATGTTGAGTAAAAATTTCCCATGCAAGTTGATAACATAGCCGATACAATTTCAGGGAAGAAAGGGAGAGAGGTATAGAAATGGAAGCAACAAAAAGTAGCAGTGAGATGAGGGAAAAATAGGTAAACTGGAAAGAGATTTAGCTATTACAAATAAATACTTGTTTGGGAAAATAATTTGTTGACCTTTGAGAATAAGTGAATTAAAAGAGAAAAATCATAATGTCATTAGCAAATGAGGGATCTCTTTTGATTCCTTCTGCCGCTACTTACACAATTTTTTTCTTCTCTACAGAAAATCTTTTTTAAAACATTGCAGCATCTTGTGTTCTAGGATTTGAAAACTTTGGTTAAAATTTTGTACATGATATTCAAATATCAAAATATGTAGCATCTTTATTTTCTACAGTTAGTTTGTCCCCTCTACTCCCTTTCCTCCCCCAACACTCTCTTTCACTCTTGACTTTCTTCCTTCCTTCCTTCCTTCCGTCCTTCCCTTTATCCCTCCTTCCTTCCCTCCCTTTCTCTCTCTCTTTCTTTCTTTCAAAATAAAACCTTGCTGAAAGCAGGTTGGTGGAGGAGACTGGAAGGCAGTAAACTTACCATTATTTTAAAGAGTGTCCTTTTGATTAATCGCTTTCTGTTAGAGCTTTTTGGTAAAAATTTGCTGTTACAGACTCCCTTCTCTCTACCATTTTTCTAGCCAAAAGAAATCTTGACAAAGAGAAAATTTTTGTCTATATTCATGTTAATAACTCTTTCAACTATTTCTAAACTACAAACCAAGGTATATTCCTTTGAGAGACTGGATTCTAAGATTCACAAATAGATTTGTAGATTCAGCAATCCTCTAGAAATATTTTCAGAATCTACTAGGATTTCTTTCTAACCCATCTAAGTATTTCTCCAGTCAGTCAGCCACATTCTGAAGATAGTGGGGATGAACAAATACTTGGTTTAAACTCTTTTCATCTCTAATTTCCCTCGTACTTCTTACTGGGTTAGGATTTTAATATTGTCATTGGAAGTAGAGTGTGATGTGTAAAAAGGGATTCCTTGAAACATGGCACTAATTAAACTCTGGTCTTCTGGGTGGTTACAATAAAGTTCTGGTGGAGATGCCCATTTGTGATTATGCTTTTCTTTTGGTAGCCTAAAAGCATGAGATGCGTCTGGCCATAATGTTTATAATCCATGAGAGATTTATAGAGTAGTGTGAGATGAAGTGTGTTTGTATACTCTAATCTCTCCTCCTTAAACAGTAAAATAAAATTATTTAAAAATACCATGGTCTGGGGCACTTGGGTGGCTCAGTTAAGTGTTTGACTCTTGATTTCAGCTCAGGTCATGATCTCACAGTTCCTGGGATCCACTGTGCTGGAGCCTGCTTGTGATTCTTTCCCTCCCTCTCTGCCCTCCCTGGATTGTGCACTTGCACATCGAGCATGCTCTCTTTCACAAAACAAATAAGCAAACATTTAAAGAAATACCATGACTTGTTTGTATACTAAGAAAGAAAATACATTTAATTAAATGCTAAAATTTTAAGAAAATGGCTCACTAAGGCCAATCCTAAATTTTACATATTAAATTTTTGTAAAAAAAAAAGGGGGGGGATGGAGGGAGTTAAGTATTTCAACAGCTTTTTTAACACAAAGTATATTTCCACTTAGAAAAATGGGTTAATAGGATAAATGCTCAATGACTTTATCAAACAGTCAACATGCCCTACAAACAGTACTATCTTTATCATTGGATCGACATGTTTATTTTTGTTTTTATATAACATAAACAGTAAATTTGCCTTTTCTTAAGATTTTAATATACAATTTTCTAAACTAGAAAAATGAATACAACTACAAAATTAAATTTTATTTTTTATCGTTACTTCAATATATTGAGAAACTCTTTTCTCCTTTTTGATGTTTAAGGTGAATTTTGCAAACTACAAATTGATGTATTTACTTAATAATTAAGATATTATTTTTTAAATATTGAGAGAGAGAGAGAGCATGTGTGCATGTGGGGGCGCAGAGAGAGAGAGCCTTAAGCAGGCTCCGACTGAGCAAACCAACTGCCCCTCAAGATACTGTTTTTGAAATTTATCAGTATTTTTATCATTTCATTATTTTAACACCTTTTTTGTTCTGTTTGTCAATTTATATTCATTAAAGTCAATTGTTGAAAGTCCACAATTCAATGATTTTAGTAAATTAACACCCAAAGTACCACGTCCCAGGACACACTTCCATCTGAGGTAAATCCAAGTGGTTGGTTACTCTTAACATTTCAGTCACCCTGAGAGCCGCCTCTTGCCTGTTTATAGTTTATTACTCCCATTATCAGCCACAGAAAATTGCTCCTTGGTATCTGTTTCTGTAAGTTTCTCTTTTCTAATCACTTCATACAAAAGGAAATGTATAGTATATATTCTTTTGTATATACTCAGCTCTTTCACTTAGAATAATATTTTTGAGATTCACCCAGGTTGTAGCATTTATCAGTGCTTTTTAAAAATAAATTATTGAATATTATTGCATTTTGCGGGTGTACTCCCTCTTATTTTTTTCTCTAAATCATCACTTACAGGTTTTTAGATTATTTCCACTTTGGGCTCTTATAAGCAATTAATATATCTGTGAACATTTGCATGAATGTTTTTGTGAACTTTGAAACATTTTTCTTGGATAGGTTCTTAGAAGTATAATTTCTGGGTTTATGATCCTTTCTGAGTTAAGTTTTGTATATGGTGTGCATAAAAGTCTTTTCTCTTTCTCTTCCACCTCCTTTTTTTTTTCCCTTGCAAGTGTACATCCAATTGTCCCAGCACCATTTATAAAATTATCCCTTTTTAAATTGTGTTGGCATCTTTGTTGAAAATAAATGACCTTAAGGTAAGGGTCTGTTTATGAACTCCCAATATGATCCATTGATCTATTAATGCTCTGATTATATACACT